ACGTGCTTGAGAAGAATAATTGCTTTAAAGTGTTTCATAAATTGTTGTTAGGAGACATCAAGATAGGCTTTTTTACTTACAACTTGAAGTTCAACTGGCAAGAAATTCTCCCCATTCAAAATATAGTTAAGCAAACAGAACAATTCAGAAATCTACTACTGGCTATTAGAGAAAATCTTTCACCTGAAAGAAAATGGAGAACAAGAGGCAAAAAAATGTTGATGGCAATTATGGACTTGCATCTCAGTTCTTACTGGTTATATTATCTTGAGCAATTCTTTTCATGTCTTTTATTCTAAGTTTTACCATCTGAAAAATGGGGCTATCAACTCGTAGGATTAGAGATAATGAACATATGAATATACTTGGCACTTAATATTTAATTTGTTTAATTATTTACACTCACTTGTTTCAAAGATTTTGAGGTAGCTTACAAAATCATTTCCTATCTTAGATCCCCTTTGCCTCCCCTCTGTCCCATCCCCCCACCCCTCCACTACCACCAAAAGCAGCCCTCCCCACCCCCCCAACACAAGGAATTGGGTATAGTGGCTTATTTGGAAGGTATTACTGGAAGTTCAAGTGAGACAGTGAAGGAAGTGAGACTGTGAAAGGAGAAAAGTCAATAAATCAATGAGCAGGGAAGTCCACTATGAATCAATTCTGCTAAGAACTCTCTGGAGGACTACAGAGAACACATCTCGGAATTCTCCCGCTGAGGGATGGGGAAGCTCTGGTATTTATCCATTGACTCTCATCTCAGTGGTTGAGAGATGCCCTGGGAGCCTTAAATAACCAGCACCTTCACAATGCTGTAAGCGATCTGGTAATTTCTTGTAGAACAGGAGAAAACCCTCAGGAAGGGAAGCAGGGATACCGGGCATGTGAGGTAGGAACCTGCTAGTGTGCCCATGGACTCTCTATCACAATGAGGGGGGGTGGGGAGGATAGGGCAATGAGTGTGTGTGTGTGTATGAGAGAGAGAGAGAGAGAGAGAGAGAGAGAGAGAGAGAGAGAGAGAGAGAGAGAGAGAGAGAGGAAAGTAGACTGTCTTTTTTTTTTAAATATATTTTATTGATTTTTTACAGAGAGGAAGGGAGAGGGATAGAGAGTTAGAAACATCAATCAGCTGTCTTCTGCACACCTCCTACTGGGGATGTGCTCACAACCAAGGTACATGCCCTTGACCGGAATCAAACCTGGGACCTTTCAGTCCACAGGCCGACACCCTAGCCACTGAGCCAAACCAGTTAGGGCTGAAAGTAGACTATCTTAAACAAAAAAAGAGGGAGGTAGCATTCAGCTTTAGTCTAGATAACCAAACTCAACCTCTTCATCAATCTCCACAAGATAATCATGCAAACTAAACATCCCGTTCATTTGGTATATTTTACCAAAGATTTGCGCATCACCACTGCGGGAAGCCACTGTTTTCCCAATATTGTCATAAGGGTGCACCAAGGAAGCTGAAGGCTGATAGTCCTTGGGCGTTAGCAGGACTAATGTCAAGCACCATTGTTCTGTTGAGATAGCGGTGGCTCAAAGCAATTTCCTGACCTAATAGCCTCAAAGTAAATGTTTACTGAACCCTACTGATCTTTACTGATCTCTATTGACCTTAGAGACAGTCTGTCTGCTACCTGTTTGCTGTGCTTTACTGAGGGCAAGATGTGTATCTAAAATTGAATAAAAAGCGGATAAGGGCAGGTTTCAGTGTGCCTCTCCAAGAGAGAGGTCTCCACCTGGCCCCCTATGCCTTCTAATTTCATATTTCTTGTCTAGTGTTTTCATTTGTGCATCGGCCCCTTCTTCATATCCTGAACCCCCGCTGCAAAAGGTTGTGGCACACCAGGAAAGGTTGCATCGCGCAGCGGACATCAATCTGGAATTGCATTGTGGTTGTGCTTTCTTCCCTCCACCTCTCTGCCCTCCCCCATTTTGTGCCCTCTCTTAGGAGCAATACTATTCCTCTCCTTGTCTCATGCAAAGCATGTTAGCAGCCATATATTCTTGATGGAGAAGGCCCTTGGGACTTCACCTTCCACTCCAAATATCATTTCGATGTATTTCTTCTCATCAAATAGAAAGCTCTCCCTAAGAGAGTCCTGGTGGCCAACATTTTCTCTGTTTTATTGTTGTCCGTCCTCACAGGTCTGCCATTTTGGCTGTGGATAAGGCCCAAACCAGAAGAGTGGATGGTTAACAGAGCACAGAACCAAGGAGCCTGTCAACTCATCCCACTGAGTCACCACGCTGCCCAGAACAGTGCCCAGCACACATAATGGCTATTTGATACTGTTTGTACAATCCAGGGGAGTTCGAGTGATTAACCAGTCTCTCACAAGGCAGGGAAAAGATCATACACAACATTTGGAGAAAGGCAGAGCCTAGGAGGGCCTAGGAGATCCAGATGCCAGACAAGAGGGTGTGAAGGGAGTCATGTACACTTCCTCCCTTAGTAGAAGGTGGTTTCCTGTTCCTAGAAAATGTGTCCATACCTCTGCATTTAGTGTCTCCTAAAACTACATGTTTCTTTTATGTCCTTGTTTTTTATTTTATTATTTATAACTACAGGTAGCCTTGTTTTTTATTTCATTTGTTTTGAAAATAAAACTATATAAAAGCTATATAAAAAGAAATCAAGATGTTCTGAACTGACCCAAACTAAGTACGCTGTTCACTCAAAGAACTCTTTGGATAGACATCAGTCGCCTTTGGTGCTTACATGTGGGTGGTAGCCCACATCCTCTACATTACAACCTCTACACCAAGTGAGGTCTTAGACCAAATTCTGCCAAAGCCACAATTGTTTTCTAACCAGCAGGTACAAGAACAATCTTACAATTGATTCTTGTGGCCTTGGGGACTCATTCTCTGCCTTAGGCAATACAAGTAATGTAAGCATAATAGTCCTAAGGTAGACACAGAATGGTGATAGGACCAGCAGCCTTTTATAGAGTCAATCACAGCCTTCATGAAGGAGAGATACACAGGACCAAGGGAACGCTAGACCCCAAACACTGTACAAAAAGTCTGACCACTGAACTTGCTGGAGCTATATACCCATCCATGCAAGAGCAGTGGGGCTCATGTCTGGGACCATCACTTATTTTTACCTATTCAAAAATATTTCTAACATTCCTTATATGAATTTAAAACCTTCCAGTAAGATTTTGATAAGACTATTTGTAGTATTATCTAGCCATCTTTGGAATGTTAATTCCTGATGAGAGACCTTTAAAACTAACCACTCTAATATATAAGCCTGAGTTCATATGCATGCACAGATATTGAGCCACATGTAAAAGGTATTTGTAAATGACCATGCAGACAATGTAACATTAAAAAATAGTGCCGCCCTGGCCTATGTGGTTCAGTTGGTTGGGGGTTGTGCACCAAAGGGTCGCTGGTTTGATTTCCGTCAGGGCACATGCCCAGGACTGGGTACCCCATCCCTGGTAGTGGGCAGAAGGCAGCAAATGGATATCTCACTCTCGCATCAGTGTTACTCCCTCTCTTTCCCCCTCTCTTCCTCTGACTCTAAAAATCATAAAGAAGTCTTTTTTTTAAGTGCCTATTCCATGATGGAATAGGAGTTGTAAAGTAAAAGCCCTCCCTTGGTAGGGTAGTAGCAGGAATCCAGTGGGAGAACCTCAGGGAAAGGGGGAAGGTGCATAGATGGGGCTGGACTCTGCCTTGAAGGCCAGCTAATAAGCAGAACTTCCCTCTGCTTAAATATCACATGACTTGTGTTTGTTTTCATGCTGGAGGCTGTTCTATCCCCTCTGGGTTTGAAAGAACTAATTTCAGTCCTCCCCGTTTCAGAAGGGACGGTTTATTCTCCTGCTGTCAGAAAATCTGATTGCACCTGTAGTTACCCACTTGCAGCCACAATTAGCCATAAGCACTCTCCAAATATGGCAAAAGCAGTTAAGCATGCCTGCAATTAAGTAATTGTGGGCATCATTAGTTGCATCGTTAGTCACATGAGTAACTTTTATGGTCACCATGGCTACCTTCTGATACCAAATTACCCATCCAATGAGGGAGCACTGGGGCTAAAAACTGACCCCTCCTTTTCCAATGTTCTGATTTTGTGTTATTTTTTCCCCCTAATTATTTCACATAAGTGAATGGGGAATGTTTGCAAATATAAATTATTTATGTCAAACCAAAAAGAAATGGTCACCCTTGGTCCTGTGTATTATCCATTCTTCTCTCTCTCTCTTTTTTTTCCCATTTAACATACAAGAAATCAAAGCTAGCTTTTTTTTTTTTTTTCTGGGAGAATAACCCACTTGTGGTATCTAGGTGACAATGCAATCTTTCATTTGTATATTCTGTCCAATAAAGGTTTTATTTTATACCAGAGTTATCATTCCCCAATTTTAATATCTGCTACCAATTTTCAATTGGAGACCTTTACTTCCTGTTTGAATTGAAGTGATTAGATGTTTTTTCCACTGGTAGTTTTAATCTAAAAGAGAAATGGGCTCAGAGCTAGGAAGACAGTTCCTGCTTGGAGAATGATGATCTGTGAAAATGTCATTAAGAAGTGTATTCTTAATGAATCACCAGCCTGAAAATGAAACATCATATTCTAAGAAATCTATATGCATATAGTAGAGCAGAGTAGGGTAGAGAGATGCATGTTTAATCAATATTTATTCATATAATAATTTCAAGATGCTTGATATAACAACAGATTAATCATCCCTCACTAAGCAATATGTTTCAGAACTACACATCCCAGAGATAAGTAGAGAACCTATCACTCCCATTTAAGTGTTTAGAAAGTATGGAATAGATGACTGAATGGCTCATCCTCCATCTACTGGGCATCCATCTATTGGTCTCATGTGCCATTTGAAGAGAGGAAAGAGTCTATCAGGCTTTCTGACCCTAGTGACTTTGAACAAAGAAGAAAACCTGTCTCTAGAGCGTGCTGTCCATCAGAACTTGCTGTAATAATGGAATGTTTTATATCTGCACGGTCCAATATGTCATGGCAGGAGGGAGCGAAGCATCTCGGGCACCGAGGCTTCCTCCTCGCCTTCCTCGCCCTGCTGGCGCTCACCTCCGCAGCGGCCAAAAGGAAAGACAAAGTGAAGAAGGGCGGCCCGGGGAGCGAATGCGTCGAGTGGACCTGGGGACCCTGCACCCCCAACAGCAAGGACTGCGGGGCGGGCTTCCGTGAAGGGACCTGCGGGGCCCAGACTCAGCGCCTCCGCTACCGGGTGCCATGCAACTGGAAGAAGGAGTTCGGAGCCGACTGCAAGTACAAGTTTGAGAGCTGGGGGTCCTGCGATGGGAGCTCGGGCACCAAAGCCCGCCAGGGCACCCTGAAGAAGGCGCGGTACAACGCCCAGTGCCAGGAGACCATCCGCGTCACCAAGCCCTGTGCCCCCAAGACCAAAGCCAAGGCCAAAGCCAAGAAAGGGAAGGGAAAGGACTAGAGGCCAGGCCTGAATCCAAAGAGCCCCTGGCCCATGTGCTCCCTCTCCCGGCCCCAGTATAACCCACCAGTGCCTTTTGTGACTCTTCAGCTTTATCAATCATGCCCTGCCCTCCCCCACCCCCCAAGTGCCCACAGTGGGGAGGGACAAGGGATTCTGGCAGCTGGAGCCTCCCCCAAAGGAATTTGATTCCCATGCCCCTGTTGTTCTTACCCACCATGATGCCATTGCTAAAAAACAAATAAAACTCATTTTCTCCCAATAAAAAAAAAATTAAAAAAATATGTCAGTCACCACCCACATATGGCTAGTGTGTGCTTGGAATGGGGAATGATCTGATTTTAAATTTTAAGCTTTAGCCACACCACCTCTAAGCTCTATGATCTTAGATAAAACACTTGTTTCTTATCCCAAGTTATGTTTTAAAAGTATCATGGTAATGATGGTAGGGTGGAGATTGGAGAGAAATCATGGAAGATCACAGTGAACCAGCTCGTCTTCCTGTTGCCTGGGTGTCTACTGTCTGTACAGTAGAAGACTATTCTGGTGAGAACACCAAAAGAGAAGCAAGATAGGAAATGTTCTTACACAAATTAGGACTCCCTTGATTACAAGTGGCAGAAAAACGCAACCTAAACCTGCCTTGAGCAAAAAGGAATACCAAGGGGTCATATCGTAATCCTTAGACCTAGTGCTGGCTTTGGGCAAGTGGATTTGTTGGTGGCAAAAATGGCACCAGGTGTTAGACCTTTGGAGTCAAACTAAACCTCAGTTCAGCAACATCAAGCTATAAGAGAAAGTTTATCTAGAAAGTCACGGAGGCAGGAGAAGTGAGTCGTAGAAGAAATGGGCTCAGGAAACAAGTTACAGAGGCAAAAGAAGGGGACCTTGGAGCTTAGGAGGGAGAAATGTAAAGGAACCATGCCTGGGGGCGGAGAAGAGGGGAGGGAAAGGCACCCACATGCTTCCTAAGAGGGAGAGTACACTGGGTCCTCCATCCAAAGGGCTTTTATGGGTAGGGATTTTAGGGGTGGTCCCAGGGAAGGCTCTCATAGAATATTCATCAGCCTTCTAGGTATATCCTTTACCGGTTTGGCTCAGTGGATAGAGTGTCGGCCTGTGGACTGAAGGGGCCCAGGTTTGATTCTGGTCAAGGGCATGTACCTTGGTTGCGGGCACATCCCCAGTAGGGGGTGTGCAGGAGGCAGCTGATCGATGTTTCTTTCTTATCGATGTTTCTAACTCTCTATCCCTCTCCCTTCCTCTCTCTAAAAAAAAAAAAAAAAATCAATAAAATATATATTTTTTAAAATAGGTATATCCTTTAAAGGCCATGGTCTCCATTGATTGTTTGATGCCAGGGGGCAGGGGGTCATAAGTCAATGCAACTGGTCCTGATGTCAGCCATGGCATTCCTTGTCTGGTTTTGCTGTTTGCTTTTCTGGGCCTGGAGCTAAAACACAACTGAGGCCTAGCCCCTAATCTTTGGAGGTTAATACTTAAGGGTGTGGTGTGCAGGGACCTACATGGGAGTCGCATAAGGTCACTCTTTGGACCCTTGTTCCTCCTCCGAGGGGGTCTACTGCATGACTAGCAGTAACATGCCAGGGAAGGAAAAGTCAGGGGAGGGTCCAAACCGCATGACCAGTGATATGAAAGGTCAGGGGGTCTAAACCGAATGACCAGCAATGTGCTAGGGGAAAACAAGGTCCGTTTTTTCTCAGTTTTGCCCATTGGTAGGCACCTGGGGCTCTCTACCCTGGTGACCTTCTTTACCTGGCCCACCGTCCTCGCTCTGCTCATGTCTGCCTAACTGCCTACCACAGATTCAGGCTTCATTTGAAGTCATCTGGATCTAGTTTCCTCCCATCTCTTGGCTCTGGCTCTACTATGCTTGTTTCAGCCTTGGGGTGTATGTGGTAGCAATATAGCAGCAAGAGGCCAAGTCCCTATAAACTCTCAAGTCTACTTTCAGGGTAAAACAGTGATTCCCAACGTGGGGCACATTTATTTTTTAAGGGGGCAATTTGAGAATGAGTTATTAACTGAATTTTTTGCATTTCTTATGGTTCTAGGGGCCTCATATATACTATATAAATATATATTGTGACATATTTATGCATTTCAGTTCTCTATTATGTTTTGAAACTTTATTTGCTATTTTTTCATATCACTTCATATTATTATTATTCCTTAGTCATTTCTTCCTCAGTACTTCAACTGTTCTTTCGTTCATTTATTTTTTTCTTTCATGGATGCCATGTTCTTTGGAAGCTTGTTTAGACCAAGTTAACGGCCTTTTAGGCTTCCTCCACGTGACGAGGAGCTCACTTTTTGAACATTAAGAATTGTATGTCACAGGAGGGGCATCAGGATTTTAGAGATGCTTAGGTGGGGCATGGCCAAAAAGAATGCTGGTAACCACTGGGGTAAAGAATGAGAATCTCTGTCGCATGTGTCTTACAAAGATCCTTCATTATGGCTCATTGACCCTCGGAAACCAACTCGCTGTGAGTGTGTGAAGTCCAGGTCTCTTCTGTTGCTCAGCCTTGCCCAAGCCACAGAGGTGGAGAATGTAGGAGGGAGCTTCCCAGAGGTAAAGCAGAGTTCTTCTAGAACAGCGGTTCTCAACCTGTGGGTCGCGACCCTTTTGGGGGTCGAACGACCCTTTCACAGGGGTCGCCTAAAACCATCGGAAACCACATATATAATTACATATTGTTTTTATGATTAATCACTATGCTTTAATTATGTTCAATTTGTAACAATGAAATTGGGGGTCACCACAACATGAGGAACTGTATTCAAGGGTCGCGGCATTAGGAAGGTTGAGAACCACTGTTTTCGGAGGAAGATGAATTTTTGCATTGCAGCAGAAAACAACAGATGTCCTCTAGAGTCCTGCTTCCAGGACTTTGAAAGAATGAAGCTATGCCCCTTGAGTAATCACAGCAGCAATGAACTTAATTATCAACTTTCAACAAACACACCCTAGCACTGCCTGGGAGCCTCCTGTTTCTAAGCAGATACATGGGGTAGCTATGAAAAGTCACCTCATCTTGGAAATGAATCTGACCTTCCACCTTCATATATGATGTTGCTTACATAACAGATCAGATTTAAGTCTTTTCTACCAGCTGGATTCTAGGATTTTGTATCCTTCAGGGATTGTGCTAAGAATGGACAATAGTTCTTCAGAGATTCAATTTCCACTTGATTGAATGACTTGAGTGGCAGAGATCCCAAAGGTCATTCATTCACGCTGATAATGCTGCCTGAGAACCCAGAACGCATTCTGTCTGTTTGCTAACTTTACTCTCTACTATTCTAGGGAGAAAAGGAAGAATTGGGCAGTAGAATAGCTGTTATTCGTTTATCCATTCAACAACAATTATGCCACTACTATGTAGGTAGTTGGTGCTGAAGAGCCACCAACATCGCCAGATACCATATGAGTGTTGTGGGTAGAAAAAGCACTGGGCATCAAAGACTTGAGTTAAAAATTCTGACTGTGACAGTAATTATCATTGTGCTTTGGAAACAAAGGCCTTATTTGGAAGATTTCAGAAAAAATCCCTTGAGCTGAAAAACTCAGATTCCATGAAAGGTTAGGTCTCTATTAGCATGACTAAGGCTTGCAGCCTGACCTTTGAGAAATAAGAGAAAGAACACTCCCTCACCCTCAGAATTCTCCACACAACCCTCCTGTGGGATTCAAGCTGAGAGCATCAAATTAAAGTAGGAGACACAAAGGAAGCTTTTCATTAACTCTTAGAAATTGTTTTCTCCTTGGGACCAGCTTATTACAAAAGAATCCCTAGGAGCTAGGACACACCTCTACTGCAGGGTGGGGCTCGGAGAAGGACTGTCATGCACTATGAGCAGAATTCACCAGCTGGATGGGTGTGGGGAAGAACATTCCAGGCCTTTGATAGGCTGGGGTAAGGCAAAACTGGAGCTGGGAGGCCGATAGCAACAATGGAGATAATTTGCTCCTCTGGAACCTCATTCCTGGGAGTGAAGAAGGGATGGTTCTCCGGAAGTAATGAAACTGCACTGACCTTTTATTTTTATTTTTATTTTTTCCCCCCTTTGACTCAAACTGGCCTCACCCAGCACTCTGACTCACCCATCTCCCTCTCCCTTGCTTAATCATTAATCAGGACAATAAGGCTCTTGTTAGGACTATAGGGCAATATAATCCTTAACAGCCATTTGTAAATTTCCCACCACAGGATAAGAGGAGGAAAAACGTGCTGGACCCAAGAAATCAGACCATATAAGGAATTGAAACTTTCCTAAAGACACCTGATTGCACTTCTGCATTACATCCGAATTCCAAGCCCACCGATTCAGCTCCCAGACCCACTGACAACAAGAGCTTCCTTCCAGTAACTGCACATAGGAATCAAACTCCAGCTCCTGGATGCCTCCATCACTGACCCAATGTCCTCTTGGCTCGGTGCTATGCAGCCCTTCCCTTTAAATATTTCATCTCTATCCCCTTTCCTTAAATAAATTCAATTTTTCTTTATCCACCATATGAGGTGGCTATTTAGCCTGCCTGAGTACCACCATGCTAACCTTTCAGTTCTGGTCAGTATCCAGTAGTCTTAGGAAAAAGGGTCTACTGACTACAGAAACGGAAAGTTTTCAATCAAACTAAAGACAGTATCTTGGCCTCAGTTGTGCTTTAGCTCCATACCCAGGAAATCGAAACGATACTGGGAAGCAGACAACGGATTGAGATAAGGCTCCAGAGAATGGCAGTTTTGCACCTTGTTTTATACATCACAATCAGAAGAAGGTTACATGAAAACCACTGGTGATAGATTAGGAAGGCGGGAGAAAGCAAAGCAGGGAAACCTCTGGGATTGGATAAAAAGTAAAATGATAGACAAATTTCTTTTACTTAGGTGGGTGCAGGATAGTTAACAGTCAACAATTAACTCAATAACAATGAGGGTGCTGGAAGCAGCAGGAACGCTAAGTGTCTGACTGGTAGGGTCAGACCAAACCTGGGTTCAGCAACCTTGATATCTAGGTTCTGGTTAGGAAAGAATTCAAAGTCCAGACCCAAACTGTAAAAGAACATGTATTGGGTAAATTACAAAGGTAGAAAAAGTAATTCCTAGAAGAAATAGGCTTAGCAAAAAAGTTATGGAGTTACAGGAAGGGCCCTTGGAG